GCGCGCGCGCGCGCTAGCGTACACACACACACACGCACACACACAAACACACACACACACACACACACACACACACACACACACACACATACACAATCACAGACACGCACGCACGTACGCAGGAACACAAACATGGGCACACATTGGCACGCACACACTAACAAACATATCGCATCTGCATCGATCATCAAAGATAAATAATATATTATTAAGAAATGCGCAACAACGTTCAATTCAGCACCATTGTCATTCAAATACAAGAAATAATTTGTTTTCGCTGCTGACAACTCGCTCCTAACAATATCAAAGATCGTACATAACTAGATTGTTCACTCAGCCAGAAAATTGTCCGCCAAAGTCCGCGCATTGCTTCAGATGGCGCTGCAGTCTTTATTTTGAAGCTCTGGCTAAAACAGCACCTAGACATGGATGGCAGGTGCCTCTATAAATAAATCATTGATGGTCATTTTGAAGCTCTGTTTTGTTTCTCCAGAAGAAGAATAGAAATAGCTCATTTTGTTAATTTCACTTTTGCTGTTTTTCACACAAGTAGGGTAACTTTGTTTGCAAAGTCGCGCTTTTTCGAAAAAGGCGCCACCAAATTTTGAGGACATTTTTTTAATTGGCAAGGAGAGAGGAGTGAACAATCTTGTTAAACACGATCTTTGACAATATACAAAACCCATTGCCCATAAAGACACGAATGGGTAATAAAAAATAATTTTTAAAAGTTTTGGCCCGTCTCCATAACAAAAGGGTATGAACAGACAATAAAAAACACACCAAAAAAGAATGAGACGGAGAGATCTTAAAATTCCAATAAGAGAACAAACAAAGATAAAAACAAAAACCCTAGATAATTATAAAACCATTGTACGTCTACTGTATAACAGGTATGTAGTATGGCAGTCAAATCAATAGATCTATGGAGGGCATGATAAAGAAAAACGCAAAACACCAAAGTGTGATGAAAACAAAAATCCAACAAACTTTAAATAATAATAATTATTGCTTTATCCCTCCCTCCATCGTACAGGTATTTCATCTTAAACTCAGCGACTAGCGTGGATTTCAAATTATGAAAATTATAACAACACTCCCTTTTTAGAAACTCTCCGCCTTTTGTGCATCCGGGTCAGGGTTCACCTCGTAGACAGCTGACCGCTGACCTTCCATCCCTTGGAAGGCGGCGTTTTCAAAGGCGACCGGCTCCATGGTGAAGTGTTCCCGGTCATAGTTGTCACCCACGAAGTCCTCCGGGTTGTTGTCGATCTCTTTCGAGTCTTTCCGCCTGAGATGGAAAAAGGGGAGGGGTTATGATTAGAATTTGAATATATATATA